ATACGAGCTACCACCCATCCCATCCAATACACACTCATCCTATCGCGCGGAGAAATTGCGGAGCCATGCAATGCAAATCTGCCACACCTCTACTATCACGAAGTGAGGGGGTGTTAAACATCAAGACACCACCTCAGCAGCGACACGAGGGGTCTAGACGATGGTGAATGTAGGACGATCATGTAGGTATGAGTAGAAGTAAGTGGCTATCATTCACCTATGGTCCGTGCGAGGGGGTTCTTTGTTCGACGTTGTTTGGCTCGGAGAAATAAGATTAGGGCGAGTCTTGCTGCTGTGGTTCGGTCCCGCGGCTGCAGGGCGTCTGGACCAATTGGAGAATTAGCCTGGTTAGGGGGGTGTGAATTTCGTCTATTGAGGGATAGGTATCTACACTATTGCAATTGGGGGCGTTAATTTGGAGGTTTGATTGATAGATGTGTTGGATACTAGAAGCTAGATGCTAGACTATTTATATGGCTTTACTCCCCAGGCATCACTTTCTGTTGGAGCACTTGTCCCAGAGAGAAGAAAATTAGTACTCGGAGTTTCAGAGAATTCAACATGGGTGCTATGTCCCTTCCTTCAGACGAGATCCCCCAGACTCAGACGGTGGCTCTCGTTCGAGAACTGGGTGGCAGTGTGGAATTTCGTGAAGGCTATCCCGTTCCTACCCCAGGGTCGAATGAGGTATTAGCGAAGGTGCTCTACACAGGTGTCTGTCAAAGTGGTCAGTCTTAGAACATCGATCATACAAGTCATCTAGATGGCTAACACGTTCGGGAAGATCTACATACGAAAAACGGCACCGCCGCTGGTGCTGATGGCAACCCAATCACCAAGATTAAACTGCCGCATGTTGGAGGCCATGAAGGCGTCGGGCAAATTGTGGCTCTGGGCCCCAACTGTGACCCGGACCTGAAGGTCGGCGGACTGGTCGGCATTCGCTTCGCTAGTCGGATTTGTAGAAGATGCGAATTCTGCTTAGCCGGCACGGAACAGTACTGTGTCAAGGGCACGAACCACCTCCACCATGAAGACGGCAGCTTCCAGCAGTATATCGCTTTGGATGCCGACAATCTCACTATCCTTCCTGACGATATAGATCCAAAGGTTATCGGGCCGGTGCTGTGTGCTGGTGTCACAGCGTACAAGGTAATAATCAGTTCTAAGCACGGAAAGAGATCTAATTGTTGACTATCCGTAGGCTGTTCTCAATACAAACATCCGGGCAGGCAACTGGCTCGTCGTTGTAGGTGCCGGAGGTGGCCTCGGACATCTGGCTGGTAAGTGTGGCGCATTATCGCGAGGCTACCACATACTGACCAGACAGTACAATATGCGAAGGCACAGGGAGCACTGGTGATCGGCGTTGACGCTGCTGACAAGCGAGATTTTGTCCTTGGATTGGGAGCTACAGAGTTCATTGACTTCACTTCAACGGATCCGGTGCAGCGAGTCCATGAGATTACCGGCCTTGGTGCGCATGCTGTTGTTGTGACTCCGGGAAGCGCCAAAGCGTTCGCCCATGCCTGTGACATGCTGCGGGTTGGAGGCACTCTAAGCTGCGTTGGAATCCCGCCGGGCCGTCCAGTACTGGAAACTCCTATTTGCACGATCGTAATCAAAGGCCTCCGGGTTACCGGAAACCTTATCGGCTCACTGAAAGAGTGCATGGAGGCAGTAGAGTTGGTCCGGCGTGGGGTTGTCAAACCGGAAATCAAAGTTCGCACGTTCAAGGAGTTGCCTGAGGTGTACGAGGAGATGGAGAAGGGTGATATTGCAGGTAGAATTGTCCTTCAAGTTTCGCAGTAGCTTACACTTGCTGTATAGTTCAGAGAATAGCAGTTCTGCAGTTCACCCACTTTCTATCCATAAAGATTCCAGTGCGAATCAGCGTCCTCCTCGGGAGAGTCCACCTCTTCTCCGGTGTTGTAAGCGTCATCCTTATCGTTATCGAATGACCAAGGGTCATAGTTCAATCTCAGCAAGCGCGCAGGGGCTTTAACCAAAGCCTCGGCCGTTTTACTATGCAGTATCGACTTGAGCATGAAATCTTGCTCCAGGAAAGGCAGCAGCTTCTGGTACAACGCGTGCAGGAAATCATGCGGCCGCAATTGAAAGTCAGAGCATGTCGGGACACATGGCGTGAGCAGGACAGTATCCGCGAGTGAGTTGGCAATTTCGAAACACTTCAACAGCTAATGCCAGATTCCATTAGTATGCACAATTTCAATCAATGCAGAAGACAAACCTGGTCGCGTCCTAATGGTAAAAGGTCAGACTCAGTAAAGCTTTGCAACGACATCAGGAGGTCACGGCTGACCACGGCCGGGAACCTGAACGTCATAAGTCGGGCACCCGATTTCGACGAGAGCAGATGCCGAGACAGAGCTTCTTGCCAGATGATCGTCCTCATCCATTCTTTCGTGATGCAGTAATCAGCAATACGGGTAGAAGGTCTGTCACCTTTGCCGAACGAAAGCATCGACAAGACTGTCTCCGTCTCTGCCAGACTATCTGCAGTCATTACCGGTTTATCTCTAGCGTTGTTGCTTCTCGTAGCCGAAAATCTGTCAAACGTGGCAAAGAGTCTGCCAAGCTCCAGCAAGCCTTTCACATCCGCATTATTGCCGACATCAACCTCATCTGGTAGGCGAATCGGAGTGGTATACGAGGGTTCGAGACCAAGATGCAAAGAATAGCCCCTAAACCGTGTCAGCTAAAGTGAGCTACAATCTAAGTGTGGAGGCAGTTCCTACCTTTCAGAAACCCACAGCAATAGAAACACGATCTCCTTATTAGCAACAACATCCGCATCCAACTCAGTGTCGTGTCCACCCACACCCTCATCCAGCTTCAACAGCCTAGCTCCATACACAGCCTCTCGTATGAACAACATGGCCGAGTCTCTCTTATTGATCTTGGCATGATAAACATGCAGGAAGAAGGAAACCAAGACGCTTCTCAAATCGAGGTGAGCTTCACGCATCCTCATACACTCCGCTGCCATCATCTTGCTATCAATACTTGTCGGAGCAAGCTGCAGCTGCGCCATGGTGGCTGCACAGAGAGCCATAGCCAGACACAAGGTCCCGACATCTGGTGTGCCATGTTCAAGCTTCTCCAATAGCACTTCAGCGTCGACAACCGGCCAAACACTATAAGAGGCCTGCTGATACGAACGCACAACTGAGACTAGTTCTTCTGTTGGGATATAACTCGATGCATGTCTCTCTGCTTCCCCACGGGATATCCCCTCGTCACGAGGGTCGACATGCGGAGCAATCAGAGGACCGGTTGTCAAGCGATCTTCTCCCTGCTCACCAGTATACCTCCTTACCTTCGGTCCCCTTCTCTGTGCAGGCTTCAGGTAAGTGCAGTTGACTTGCTTAGGAGCACTCTGGCAGGTATCGCAGGGCCAGGCGCCGCTGCACTTGACCTTGCGGGAGATACACTCATCGCATGCACGCTTTGTGAGTCGATGGCGCATGGGTAGGGGATGATAATCACTGAGTCCCAATCAGATAGCTAACGAAGGAGATGGATGGAAGGATGGATGGGTAGATAGGAAGAGTGAAAAATGAAGGGAGTATCCGAAGAGAGGGATGAGATGAATGATTAGCTGCAGATGAGGGGAAGCAAAGCAATTGCGGAGTCAGAAGACCGGCCATTCATCAGAATCCCGATTGCATGCAGATTCCACCATTTTCTCCACAGCCATAATTCCATTCCAATTGTTCAATAACTTAACAAAGTCAGTATTATGATGTGAACCATAGTTACATGGACATGTTATGATGTGGCATGACAACAGCATCCCAAGTATAGAGGGAGTAGTAAGTAGATGATCATGTAATCATTTATGTAACAGACTACCCCCACACCCCCAACCGAGCTTAGCAATCAGGACCCCTCCTGTCATTTACTCCAGATCTTCTACCTACTTCTTTCCTTTCTTCTCTACTACCTACTATTCCTCCTCCTTACTTGGTTGAATCTCTTCACAAAGCCAACAAACACCCCCATCATCTACAAAGAACCCATCTTAACCCTCCCACCAACCACCAAACATGGAAGACACTCCCCTCCCCCCCGCAAGCACCGACGTACGTCTACCCCACAATCCCCATCCCTCCTCTCCAAACCCCCAACTAACCACTACTTTTCCCTCCCAAACAGCCCCGCGACCTCGCAGCCCTCGAATCCAACCCCTCCGTCCTCTTCCCCACCTTCACCTCCAGCACCGCGTGGACCCTCGGCCTCGCTCTCCGCGAGCGCATCCTATCCCTCCCACCCACACAACGCAAACCAGCCTTAATCTCCATCACCTTGACGGGCGGCTCCGAACCACACGTCATCTTCCAATGCGCGACCGAGCCCGGCACGGTAGCAGACAACGAGGTGTGGGTGCGACGGAAGCGCAACACGGTGTTGCGATGGGGCGTGTCGAGTTGGTTGATGAGACAGAAGATGTTGAGTTCGTCGGGGGCGGAAGCGAGCGAGGTGGAGGCGGCGTTTGTGAGGAAGTTTGCGTTGACGAGTACTGGCGGGGGAGGCGCGGCGGATGAGTTTGCGATCCATGGGGGTGCGTTTCCGATCCGTGTGAGGGGCGTGGATGGCATTGTGGGTGTTGTGGTGGTGAGTGGGTTGAAGCAGGAGGATGATCATCAGGTTGTGGTGGAGACGGTGAGGGAGGTTATTGCGAAGATGTAAATGGATTCATCAATGTATTATATTCTATAGAGAAATTGTATTAGAGTGGATTGTTTATGTTGTGTTATATGGTAGTTGTGTTACGTATAGTCTACAAAATTAGAGAGTCAAGGTTGGATAAAAGGTATCATGCAATTGCTGCCTCTAATAATGTCAAGGTCAGGTCAGGTATCATACTCGGTTGGACGACTGGTCAGCAAAAACCGGGCCAAAACAATGGTCTCAACAAAAACACACAACAATCAAAATGCTAACTCCATAAAGATCCCTCTAATGGTATGGTAATTTTACAATTCATCATGCCCGCTGGGCTCGTCATCCTCGTCCGCCGGCGCAGAGCCATACAGCTTGCTGGTGATCGGGTACGCCACGTTCGAGAGCTGCTCCTTCTGCTCCTCGAAGTCCTCGGTGGTGGCGGTGGCAGCGTTGTCCTCGAGCCACTCAGTCACCTCCTTGACGGCGTCCAGGATGGTCTGCTTGTCGTCCTCGTCGATCTGGCCACCCAGGCCGTTCTCGTCGTTAACCTGGTTCTTCAGGCTGAACGCGTAGTTCTCCAGGGTGTTGCGGGCCTCGATCTTGGCCTTGATGGCCTTGTCCTCCTCGGCGAACTCCTCAGCCTCGGCGACCATGCGGTCAATCTCCTCCTGGGACAGACGACCCTTGTCGTTGGTGATGGTGATGGACTCGGCCTTGCCGGTGCCCTTGTCGCTGGCGTGAACCTTCAGGATACCGTTGGCATCCAGGTCGAAGGAGACCTCGATCTGAGGAACACCACGGGGAGCCGGAGGAATGCCGGTAAGCTCGAACTTGCCGAGCAGGTTGTTGTCCTTAGTCAGGGAACGCTCACCCTCGTCTGTGACAGTCAGTTAGCAGACATTCCGGGATATTCAATCAAAGCATGAGATACTTACAAACTTGGATGAGGACGGTGGGCTGGTTATCAGCGGCGGTAGAGAAGATCTGGGACTTGCGGGTGGGGATGACAGTGTTGCGGGGGATGAGCTTGGTCATGACACCACCAGTGGTCTCAATACCCAGGGTCAGGGGGTTGACATCCATCAGAACAACGTCGCCGGTACCCTCCTCACCGGAAAGGACACCACCCTGGACGGCAGCACCGAAAGCAACAGCCTCATCAGGATTGATACCCTTGCTGGCCTTCTTGCCACCGAAGAACTCCTCGAGAAGAGCCTGGACCTTGGGGATACGGGTAGAACCACCGACGAGGACAATGTCGTCAACCTCGGACTTCTTAACCTTGGCGTCCTTGAGAACCTGCTCGACAGGCTTCAGGGTCTTCTTGAACAAATCCATGTTCAGCTCCTCGAACTTGGCGCGGGTGAGGGTCTCGGAGAAGTCCTCGCCGTTGTGGAAGGCCTCAATCTCAATACGGGTGGACATCTGGGAAGACAGAGTACGCTTGGCCTTCTCAACCTCGCGCTTCAGCTTACCCATGGCCTTGAGATCCTTGGTGACATCAACGTTGTTCTTCTTGTTGTAGAGCTTGACGAAGTGGTCCATGACACGCTGGTCAAAGTCCTCACCACCCAAGTGAGTGTCACCAGCGGTAGCCAAGACCTCGAAGACACCGTTGTCGATGGACAGGAGGGAGACATCGAAAGTACCACCACCAAGATCGTAGACGATGACCTGGCGCTCATCACCAGTCTTGTCCAATCCGTAGGCGATAGCGGCGGCGGTGGGCTCGTTGACGACACGGAGAACGTTCAGGCCGGCAATGGTACCAGCGTCCTTGGTGGCCTGTCTCTGGGCGTCGTTGAAGTAGGCGGGAACGGTGACGACGGCGTGGGTGACCTTCTTTCCAAGGTAGCCCTCGGCGATCTCCTTCATCTTACCAAGAACCATGGCGGAGACCTCCTCGGGGGTCAGGGTCTTGGGGCTCTGGTTGACATCGACCTTGACGTGGGGCTTGCCGTCCTTGTTGACGACCTTGTAGGGGAAGTGCTTGGCGTCCTTCTGGACATCCTTGTCATCGAACTTGCGACCGATCAGGCGCCTAGAGAGCGTTAGCAACAGATTGCCACGAAACTCGCGAGGAGCAGAAAAACTCACTTAATGTCAAAGATGGTCCGTCTGGGGTTGGCGGCGTATTGGTTCTTAGCGGCGTCACCGACCAGGCGTTCCTCATCGGTGAAAGCGACGTATGAAGGGGTGATACGGTTTCCTTGGTCGTTGACGAGAATTTCAACCTTTCCATTCTGCATAACACCGACACAGGAGTAGGTGGTTCCCAGATCGATACCAATGACTGTTGAGAACAGATAGCGTTAGCATAATTCTTTCACTCTCCCTGGGAGACACTCTGCTTACCAGTTCCGTAGCTATCTTGAGGCGAAGTCTCATCCTGAGCGTGTGCAGTGCCGAAGAAGGCGAGGGGGGCAATGAAAACAAGCAACAAGTAGAAGATGGTGGTCCAAGCCGTGAAGGGCTTGGCCGCACCCTGATGCGAGATGCGCGCCATTATGTGAAATGTCCTTTCACCACAGGACACGTAGTAGACTTCTTTTTAATCGACGAGCTGCTCAATTGGAGACAGCAGCGAATGAATGTGAAAGAATCCTCCTATTGCTCGTACACGGTTTTTATTTCCCGGCACGAAGAAAGAAGGAAAAAATAGATACAGTCCAACCCAGATGAGAACGGGAAGGAAAGAAAGAGCGAAGGGGGGAAGGGGGGGAGAAGAGAGTTGGGTGAAAGAAGGCGACGACGGAGAGAAGAAAGAGTGTCTCGAGAAGCTCCGGCCAGCTTCTTGTATGGCTTGCCAGCGGCAAAGAAAGCGCAGCGGCCATGCTGGCCTTTTCGCGGGTATCTGACTTTAAGGTTACTCCTCGGGCTGTCATTGGTCCGCGACGCGTCCAGGGCAGGGCTGAGTCAGCGTGCACGGCCACCGCCCGGTGGTTCTGCCGGCGGAAAAATGGAAGGCGTTCGTCCAAATGGGGAAAGGCGGTCCACCGAACTTGCTAGAATCGTCGCGTGATTCGCTCGCTTCGGCTAGGCGTTCTTCACTCCTCCAGGGGCACTTTGCCTCTTTCGGCACTTGAACAACTGGCCGTTCCGTTCCTTCGGCGCCATTTCCCGGGAGATTGACCCTACTCTTACTGAAGTCCGGGGGTTGACGCTGAAGATTGAAGAAAAGATGAGAAAAGGGGCCAGCTTGTCAACAACTCGTCAATCACCACATGGCCAGATTCCACTATTGACCATCATTGAGTCAAGTCATTACTCCTTTTTGAGTCACCAAAAGATCACCCAAGGGTCTTCCGCTGTGAAAGTGGATACATCCCTCCCCACTCAGGAGGCGCATCCCAGCTTGGCCTGATTCCTGAATTATTGATCCAGCCAAGGCATGAGGTTTCTGCCAGCCTGGCCAGATCGTTTGATCTCTGTTTCAGTGGATGTGGGCTGAAGGGACCCTTTCTAGCAGCACTCGTAGTAGTGTATGAGACAAACATACTCATATGGTACAAGTAGGAGTAGCCTGTTCCAATAGTGTTACAGTGATGAAAATATTTCACTTGTAGTAGTAGAGTAACTATATTGAAATTGGTTGATATTTGCTGATCACGATCAAGTACTATTAGTATCAGTAGTACTACTAAGTAGTAGTCCAAGTTGGTGCACTGAAGTGGTGCGGAAAGAAATATATATATATGTTTGAAGGCGACCATGTAAATACTGGGACATACTATCTACATCAGAAATATATATTGTCCTGACAATGCAATCAAGTCATAATCTACTCTAGCAACCCAGCAGCCACTGTTTCACCTCCAGCTCGTAGTACAATACGTGTAGGTGCCTCGAGAGGTACAGCCTGGTCCATCTCAACCACTATCCGTGCCACAGTGCCGGGTGCAACAATCTTGGGCTTTTTCTTGATGCTTGCGCCAGTCACCTTGTCCAAGGTTGCGACCAGCTGGCTGATCCGGCCGGGTACGTGCAGGCGGCCCCGGTGGATGTCCACCATGCTGGGCAACAGATGGTCGAAGGCCAACACCTTGCATGTAAACGACGTGACATTGGCGATGGGTGCCGAGGCACGGCAGATTACATCGCCAGATCGGAGATGGATGGGATCAATATTGACCAGGTTGAGCGTGACGTTCTGACCCGCCACCGCCCAGTCGTTGGGCTCCCCGTCCACTTCCAAGCTGCGTATCGTGGCCTTTTCGCCACTTGGCATCGTGAGGATCTGATCGCCAACTTGGAGACTACCGGCGTCGATGCGGCCAGAAATGGATAGAGGATTCTGAACGCTGCCCCGGAAGACGTCCCCAATGGTCATTCTCAATGGCTTCTCAATAGCATGAGCGTAAGGTTCCGTAGCCTCAAGCTCCTCGATCAACGTATGACCCTTGTACCATGAGACATTCGGGTCTTCACTGCGTCTAGTTACGTTATCGCCGCTAATACCCGAGCAGGGCACGAAAGCGATGTTTTTGGCCTGGAATCCAGCAGTTGTCAGGAAAGAAGAAACCTGCTGTTCGATCTCTTCAAAGCGACCTTGGTCCCATTGGACAGAGTCCATCTTGTTCACAGCAATGATGATCCTCTGCACACCCATACTCCGCACGAGGAGAGCATGCTCCTTCGTTTGACCCTTAAGTCCAGACTCGAAATTGCCTATGCTAGAGTCGATGACGAGAACGGCAAAATCGGCTTGACTGGCGCCCGCAATCATATTGGGTACAAAGTCCCGATGACCCGGAGCATCCACAATCGTAAACACCGTACTCTCCGTCTCAAACTTGTTTGTTGCAATATCAATAGTAACACCCCGAGCTCTCTCCTCGGAGCCTTGATCCAATACCCAGGCAAGGGCAAAGGATCCCTTCCCAATCTTCTCTGCCTCTTTACGATATTTTTCTAATGTGCGCTGATCGACAGCTTTGAGGTCGGCCAGCAGGCGTCCCATCAACGTACTCTTTCCTGCGTCGACATGACCTAATCGCTTGTCAGTGGCGTCCGTCCAGAGAAACGGGTAGTACGAACCGATAACGGCGAAATTCATTGCTTTCTTCCGTTGCGTTTTCTGGTACTCAGACAGCACATCTAGGTTCTTGCTCTTCACATTCACCTTCTCCTCCACACTCAGGCTGTTCATGCCTTCAGCCAAACCAGCCTGGGATTTCTTGTCACCTGCTGACTTAGAAGCAGGTTGTTTCGATTTGAAGCCTGCATGTCCATTAGGGAGGATCTATATCTTGCGCCGAATAGCCAAACCTTTTGCAGAGCTCTGAGCATTCAAGACAACGTCGTCGGGGCTTGGGCCTGCAAAATCAAAGGGTTCAGCAAGTTCTTGACCATATATCTTGATCAGATCTAATGTGCTGGCAGATAGGTGGCTGGGCTCGGCCATCTTTGGGCGTATCGCTTCTCCAACGATCGTGCTGGCAAATGTAGACGGTGGTGCACGGATGTTGAGAGCGGCTTGTTCTTCCTGCTTCTTGTCGGTTGAAACGGGTGGTTCGATATCTGCCTGCCCAGTGACCTCCGGACTGCTTTGTTTTCTCGGCTCTGGGGACGGCATTTTCTGGGGCGAAGGGCTTCCCAGCCGCGATCCTTTATTGAGTGACCGAAGCGATTGCAGGCCCTCAGACGATTTCTGCGGCTTGCCATTGCTAGCGAGTCTCTCACGGAGAGAAAGGGCGGGGCTCTTTCGCTCAGTGGAAGATGGCCGGGAACTTTCAACTTCAGACGGAGGTGTAGGGGTCGGTGCAGCAGACTTCTCTCCCTCTTTCTTCTTGCGCGCAGCAGCCAGAGCAGCCAACTTGGATACCTTTCCGGAATTCTCAGGAGCTCCTCCTAGCAGACCCAACCGTGGATATAGAGGCTCAACGAGTATGTCCGCCTTACGGTGTGCAGGTATGTTGAGCCATGGTGCATCACGAAAGAAGTCGGCTGCCGAGAAATGTGCAGTCGAAGAGGCCGGAGGAGACAATGGAACAGGATATACAGGCACTAGGAAGTCTGTTAGAACATACTTCAACTTCCGTAACGGCGTCAGTTCAAAGCAATCAATCACGAGGGGTAAGGGTAATGCTCACGGTTTATGAAATCCTGACCGACAGTACGTATACGCCGACTTGCAGACAATCCAAGCCCAACCACCATAGTATAGACGAGCAGATGCGCTTACCTGTGCTTGTTTTTGTTTTGACAGCCGGAACCGGAGCCGGAGCCTGTTTCTTCTTGACCTCCTTCGTCTTTTTACCTGCATCCGATGGTTCTTATTAGCATCCATAGAAGCAGGTCGCAATTCTGCTGGAACGCAGTCCAAATCTCCTCTTCCAGAAAATAGTTATGACGCACCTCTCAGGTAATTCACAGACTTCTCAACATCATTGTAATAGTGCCATAGCGCCTCTTGCACCTCATCGCGAGTCGCGGTGACAGGAGGGTCCCCTGCACGGAGCTGGTTCAACACTTCTGCAGTGCACTGCTCAAGGAATTCCTCCTCCTCGGGATCCGGGGAATCATAGTCATCGTCAAAGTCATCTTCGTCGTAGCTCACAGCCTTAACGCGATGGCGCGACATGGTGGTGGTGGTGGTGGTGGTGGTGTGTTGTTGTTGGGAGCGGGGCAGGTTGCTAGGGAGGGGTTTTCCGGGAGACGGTAGGTTTAACGAGGGATTGAGGAATTCCCAAAGAAACAAATACGAGAAAGAAAGATATAAGTAAACAGCACGCTACGTGCTTTGGTGAATGCCCGAATGTGAATGGGCCAAGAGGGTAGAGTCAAGAAGTTGGCAAAACAGAGAGCCGAGTCGGAGGCTGTCGTTGTGGAGGAGCTGATCGAATCCCACCACGTCATTCCCCGCTCGGTGGCCTCAGGCCGCTCAACTACTGCGGATGGTTCTTCCATCACGAATATCCCTCAAAGCAATCTACAGCGCCTTATTTCCAAGCTACATTCAATGCACAGCATTTTGAGATCACCTTTTGAACAGATAAATTGTGGTATTTTCTATCTATCGAGCGACTCTGATGTCACTCCCAAATTTACTTCATGTATAGCCAACTATGACCGGACATCCAAATGTCGCCTCTATCTTCCTAAGACCTCCAGAACTGGTCGATATAGCAAATCGATAATATCATGAGGAAACGTCGTCAAAGATCTATACCCGGATTCGGGCGGAGATGTTCACTTCAGGGGACTTCCACTGAAGAAGTCACCCGCTCCAGGGCCAGCAAAGCTGCCGTTGCTGGGCGTCAGAGCGATGGAGCGTCGGAAAGCCTGTCTGGGTGTGGCTGGAGCACTAGCAGCGGCGCCGACAACATCAGACGTGCTAGGAGTGTTGCGACCGCTGTTGTTCTGCATCGTAACCGCCGTTCCAGGACGGGAGAGCACTGTTGGGACACCGTTTCTGGGAGGGGGTCGGAATCCAAGCTTGGAACCTTCGCGGAAAATCTCTTCCAATATTTGAGACACAATACCTGCATCTTCGTATTCTTTGAA